GTGATTATCAAGAGCTGTCAAATTAGTGTGACAAGTTAAGTTTTTTAATGAACATAAAATGTGCCTTTTCACTTTTCAAGTGAGAAATACCTCCACCTAGTATGAGGGCTTTAAGCTCATCTGAAAGGACACTTCCAGTGTTCTAGAGACCAAGCAGGCATCATGACACAGAAGCAGAGCTTCCTCTCAAACTCCGCATCGAAAAGATGACTGCTTTTTTTCCATGGTGTCATCATTCATTTACAATTTCCAACAATATTGTTTTCTGACAGTTTAAATACAAAATTTAACAATAAAGACTGATGTCTACTCTTCCTAGTTAGTTTAACCCTTAAATACACAAACATTAAGTCTTCCTTACGAGTTAACACAGGTTTTTTGTTAAGTTATTTAAGAAAGTTACTTCGATGTATTCCTTTCAAATATATACCTTTTTCAAATAATCAACAGAACCCTCAACACAACTTAGACAAATTTTCATCCTATTATTAATAAGCAATTGAAAAAGGGAACACATCTGTAAGTAAACACCATACAGAATGAAGTTCTGTACAGCAAGAAGATACTTGGCTTTAAACGCAACATTTTTTTGCTTTAAGTCACAAATGTATCTGTATGATGCCATATTGTGTATAGTTTTGCATCATTATATGCTCTACTATGCACAGGTCATGTTTCAAACATCCAGTAAACTAAATGAAGCACCAGTAAGCTGTCTCGCTTGAATTTGGTCAGAAGAAAACTTACATAGCCCTATAATACAAAAGTACCATAACTGGACAATCTAGTTTATAATTTGTTATTATTAATAGTTAAAATTGAGAAAGAAATACACCTGAGAAAAACAGAACAAACAACATAGTGACAGCAAACCCAGGAAGGGATATAACAAAAGAACTAGTAAGTGTGTGTGAAAGGCTATAAAGAGATTCCTCCATTTAAACCAACTGCTAAGAGATCTGTAACAACACTGTATTAAAAAAAATGGAAAGATAAAATAACAAATTAGATAATTTTGCAAAGGTAATGATAAATAGCTTAAAGGAAGAAAGAAAAACATTGTGATAAAAGTAAAAATGTGATATGGATTATTTTCTTTCCTCTTGCAAAGGAAATAGTTTAATATGCATAATATGGAGAAAAAGAAAACAAAACAAACAACAACTAGCTGGATCACAATCGCAATCAACAAAATTTTTGCAAAATTTTTTTAGGAAACATCCCTTTTACCATTCATTTTTAACCTTAATTCCTTCTGAAAACAGAAAAAATCATAAACAGGATTCCAGGATACAGGGTTTATCAGCAGCTCTACCTTGTAGCGTGGAAGAACATTTATATTTGTTACTTTAATTTCTATTGCTCTGCAGAACTAAATATACATATCTTAGTTTAAGAACATAATATTTTTTTGGAGAAAATAAAAATCTCATATCCCATGTATCCAAAAACATCACAGATTCATAGGAAGATACCAAAAAGACTTGACTCTCAACTGGTCAATCATTTAATTTAAAAGCATGAAACCACTTTTTCTAACTTACAAATTTTCAGAACCTTACAAATAGTCTAAAAAAAATGTTCCTAGTCTCAACCATGACACTCTGAAGACACATGTTCTTGACTATTTGCTTTTTGACTATTTAATTTTCAGCTTCACATTTAAAGCTTTCCTTTACTAGAGTAAAAACTAGAATTTTTATATTTTTTTAAAAGGAAGATTCATATGCACAATCAATCACATAACTCTAGGACTAAGAACTCTAGGGATTGCACACTTGAAGTCAAGAGGTTGGAAAGTAATAAAAGTCTGTTTGATGATGTTTATCACATAAATTAAGTATGACTTGAATAAGCTCTTGTCCTAACAGATGAAAGATTTGTACCAAGATAACAACAGAGTATAACATTTCTATTCAGAACTTGAATTTTTAATTACTACTCAATGTTTTCTAAGAGAGTAGTGTTGTATGCAAGGAAAACGTGGTCACAACCATGATTCCCACAGTTCTTGTCCTTTTGTCTTATCACTGTTCGGCTTCCTCCCTGCTTCACTAGCAGTGTTCCATATCAGTTTCTCACTGTATGACATTTTCTCATGCAGTGGGTCTGTGTTCTTCATCCCAACTCTGTTTCATCTTTTGGAACAATTAGTAAATAAACTAGCCCCTGTAAAAATCATCCTTTAGATTAAAGCTTCAATGTTAATACATTAGTTATACAAATGAGTGCATAGTCATAATCTCAGACTGTCTGGAGACTCAGGAGACAGTACAGCATTAATATACCCCTATTTTTGTTTACATTCTCCCCTGTATCCAGAAAACCTCCATCTTCTGTTGAAATAAATGCTTCATCATTCTGTAAATGCATCATTTACAGAAAAGTTCTTCTCTTCTCTTATTCCTTCACATAAATATTACACCAGCCACACAACATGAACTTCTCCCTTCAGTTTTATTTCACAGTAATACATCTTCTAACAGACTTCATTTCTTCCAGCTCTCAATGGAACACACAATTTATTGGTGAAATAATGATTTTCCCTGATCAAAGTATACTGTGAAGTGATTTAACAGTAACCCTAAAGTCCTTTTACTGTTAAGTTACTTAGTAAACAAAAATTATACAGAAATAGTCTTCTATGACAGACTTTGAAACTAATTACAATTAAGACAACTCAGTTTCTGAAGCAGCAACTGCTTTTAATCTTCAGTGATCATGGTGGGAACCTAGAACTGCATATAATGCTACTTTAGCTCATGTAATGAGTAGATCTGTAAGACTGGATGACAGACACAATTTGTGCTCATTTTCTGAAACTGACCAGTTTTATAAGGAGAGCAAGTTTTTCTATACCTCTACCAGGTTTTATTACACAGAAAAAAAGTTTTCTAGCACTAACAGAAAACAAACTAAAACCAAGCAGATCACCTACTTGTGAGTCCACAAAGTTTCCTCCAAAGAAACTGAGTTTTGCAGCTTCCACTGCATCCAAGGTCTTACAATGTGTACTGAATAACTTCACAGTAATGATTTTTTTTTTCAACATCACTTTGAAATCATTACAGATTTCAAACTGACTATGTTTTGGGAAAGAACAGGTAACTGAGACGATGGGGAAAGAACAGATGTGAAGCTTGAGCAGTTTTCCTGGTAACACAAGATCAGAACAAACAACTTGTCTGTACGCATGGAGCAAGGAAGACAAATTAGAGACTAGAAAATAGAAAAAGATACACTGACAAATTAAAAAAGAGTAAGAAAATGAATGCAGTAATAGAGGGTAGTAAAATGAGAAAATGAACCACCAAATAACCTACAGTAATGGAACCAGAAAGAAAATTAATTAAACTGCACAAAACCAGGAAGACAAAGAAGACTTAACAAAACCAAGAGGGATTATGTGTAATTTATGAATTCAACTAAGCCACCTGTTAATGTTACAAGTCAATAAAATACTTGGATGCTATATTAATTTAATTTGCAGTGGTCTTTGGGGTCCCCATGTCAACATGCATTTCATGCTGATTGCCAAACAGTATTGTTAGTGTTTCTAGCCTAGAAAACATTTTGGTAAAAGGATGAAGGCATATAGGATCATAGAATCATTTAAGTTGGAAAAGATCTTTAAGATATGTGAGTCTGTAACTCAAAAAGGGTTGAAGCATAATTTATACACTCAAATGAAGTCTTTGAAGTATGTTGCCACTCTGGACAAGTGGAAAAATGTGCTCTGAATTCTCACTTCAAAAATGTTTATCGTCTCTTCCAAAGCATTGCAGACTGAGAACTACCAAGTAAGGAAGAATCAAAAGTTGGAGCAATACTCTAAACCAAATCCCTGCAAGGTACATCAGATTAGCAGTGGCCTGCTCTTCATTACACATGGAAATTTTGTCACATCCTTCTCACATGCCACTTCAGATGTAGCTACCATGCGACCTACAGACCAGGAAAGGGTTACCAGTCCCTAGGTTTGCCACATGGTCTGGTCCACCGGCTGCTGCATGAGAGGAGCCCCAAAGAGGAGATACAAGGACTCCCTGAAACAACATCTCAGCCTTGGTCATATTGATCAACAGAACTGGTCTACTCTGGCCTCCAATCAGGAGGTCTGGAGACACACCATCTATAACGCTGCTGTCTCCTTTGAGAACACACGCAGGATCACTCTCAAGGAGAAAAGACAACACAGAAAGAATCGTGCCTTGCAGAATATACTTCCTAAGGAGTCTTTCTGCTGTGCCTTTTGCAATCGGACATGCCTGTCTCATATTGGCCTTTTTAGCCACCAGCAGGCTTGTGATAAACGTGGGTAGAGCCCTTTCCCAAATCTTCGTTCGCGAAGCCCAGCCATGATGATGATGGTCCCACCCAACGCAGATGACATAGTAAGATTTGATTTCTGCCTATATCTGAACTGTCTTTTGGATCATCCTCATTCCTGTGATTAATGCAACCCACCTTCCAAGAAATAGTAAGATTTCATTTAAATGGGAAGATCCTAATAGGGAGTACTGACCCCACCATACACTTTTGCTCTTGTGTGAAGCATGCACATTTTCACACAGTGTACATATGCAAATATTATTCTGGTTCCTTTGCTTCTGCTATTTACTGTGGAGAAAGAATGATCTGTCTTCTTGATTTAAATGCCACTGTAATACACCATGTCTTTTAACAAATAAGAATGGCAACAAGTTAAATTACTTGTAGTTCAGTGTGATTAATGAAGTTAATTGCAAGGATAAAGATAATGGTTAGATTATTGAATCATATGAGCATTCATTCCATTGGCTTTCACAGGAAATTTAAGGGTGCGGTTTCCTGGTGATTTTAAGCTGAGCTAAAGTGAGCAAAGGCAGTCCTGTTATTCCTCACCTTTGTGTTTTCACATGCTGCAGCTCCTGCTGCAGTGACTAACAACTGCGAGGCAGCATGGTACCAGAATAATTTGATTTACTGTGCAGTTCACACATGAGAGTTGCTACACTTACGAGGGAGGTGCAGAAATGTGCTGTCGAGGATGGTGCTGTTCTTTTGGCAACAGACTTGAGTTTGAACAACTTCAGTCAACACGGAAGCAGCAAGAGCAGGGAAGAGTGGTATCAACAGGATCAACAGCCAAAATACTTGTTCACCTTACAACAGTGCCAAAAATGCTGTCTCTAACTCCAAGGTAAAACTCACGTCCACAGACCTGAAAAGACAAGTCCAATTTTCAGATGCTGAAATGAAAAAGAAAAAGAAAAAACAGTCTCAAATGTATCCTTCTATAAAAAATATGCAGCACAAAATGAAACTAAAAGTACAAATTATAAACAATGGTCAAAAGCAGGAAAATCAAAGCAAGAGTGCAATCACATGCAACAGTTCATGAGTGCAAAAGAAAATAATTAAGAGCTGTGCCTTGAAACAGTAGCTGTAGGCATAATTTTATTACATAACTAACTTTCATCCTCACATTTTGATGCAATATTATGTTTAATCAGGATATCCTTTAAAAGAAAGTTGACATAGACACACACTTGTGCTTATCACTTACCACCTTCTGAGTGCTTCAGCTAGCACAGGATTAGTTCAGCAGAAAACCTGATAAATACCCCCTGATAGGACCCAGCATACTCAATTGCTTATCTCCCCTGACAGAGTACCCAAAGCAGATAAATTTTCTTGACTACACATCAAATCAAACAAACAATAATTTGACAACTGCTAGGGAACCTATGAGATTTATTTATATTTTGCTATTTTCATGTTTCTGATTGTGACATGATTCCCGTTTCTGATCATATGAGATATTAGTAGTAAACAAGTTTGATAAGTGAACAACAAGCTGATAAGGGGGGATAACTTCATTCACAGTAGGCCTATATTAGATATTTTACACAAGCACATAACTCAGAGTGGGGTAGAAACAGGTATTTATGAAGCAACTACACAAAAAAGTAAGCTATGTAATTCTACTCTACATAGAATATAAATCTGAAAAAGGCTTCTGAGCCAGAAACTTGTGGATACTAATGTGGAACTGGTTCATGACTCCTCAAAAAAAGGTTAAGCATCATTTTCCACAATTCCAAAGCCTTCGTAAACTGTAAGATTTAATCTGGTACTGGAATGACTGAATTTAACTCACAAATATTAATTCAGCTCCTGTGTTTACTGTTGTTGCTGATTTTCCCCTCTTTCTAACCCGGAAGGAAGCCACTAACCTCAGTTACAGAAAAACATACATCTATGTATATATGTGGTTTGCTTTTGATAGTAAAAAGAATACAGTTCATATCGTTACCGGTTTCACTGAATTTTATCAGTTTAACATGACTCTTATTTTCCTTATTGCCAATGCAATAAGCTTAAATAAAGAGCCAATTTCTTTGCCATAAAACAGTGAAACTCTCCCAGATTTCTACAGAATCTTTCTGATCCAAATAAAAATGGTTTCTCTGTGTCTACCTGTATGTATTCTTACCCTCACTAAATACAAGTTTTGGATCTAAATTAGCCTCAGCATTCCACAGAAAGAAATTAATCCCTCTATTTCATTTCCATATTAGTGCCAAGGAAGTGTAATATTCCTTCTTTTACTCTTTTTTCTTTTCTTAAATGCCCTCAAAAATAAGAAATCGCAAGCTGGTTTATGAAAAAATGTAACTTGTTTTACTTTAATTTTACGAGGGCAGTTTTAACTAACCCCAGTCTTAACAGCTTGAATTTTTAACTAACAGTTTCAAGATCACCCAATGCAATTCAATTCTCAGAGAGTATTTAGCATCTTCTAACAAAAAACAACACCCCCAAAACACTCCAAAACCCAGGTCTTCCTGAAGTGTCACAGGTAGCATTTAATATCTCAGAGCATACTCAAACTTGCAGTTATCCTCAACCACCTGTATCTTTACTGAAACACATAAAAGGCTCTACTTCAGAAAATTTCCTAAAATGCACTCAACTGATTCATCTTTAAGTGCCCATAGTCGTCTTCTTACTCCCTGAGTTGCAAGTTTATTAGAAAGGACCTACTTTGTGATATTAGATTTGTACAGTTTAAGAACTACACATATTTTACCTGTATCATTCCTACTCGAAACAGAATGAATGTCAACATTAAGTTATCTTTATTAGTATCTCAGGGCAGTACATCAACCAAGAGATATCTCCTTTTCCCTCCCTTCTCAACTGAAACAATAAAACCTTTATGAAAATTAAAAAAAAAACAAAAAAAACAAACCACCTTTGGAAAAGAAATTCATCACACTAGTTGTATGAGACCACAGTAAGAACCACACGCCCACATTAGATAGCAATTCCACAATCTAAGAGAAAAAAAATAATTGTATTCTCAAACAAAATAAAAGAAAAACAAAATTACATGTTCCTCATAAGCACATTTGACAGAATAATTAAAAAAAGATTCTCACTCCAGTCAGAATTTTCTTTTGAAATTTTCTTTTGAAATATTCCGAAAAACAGTTTCAAAGCAAACGTGAAAAAATGCTGATCACAGCAAAATTACTCACTACATTTTTTAAATGAAGTTCTCCAAAAAGATACTTCTTAGGAGTATTTGCTTTTTGACTAATTAGCATTTTTACAAGACTGTTCTCGTCAACCTGTCTCCCTACAAAGGCCTCCAGTACAACAGTGTTAAAAAATGTCAGAAAGGTTTTTGAATAACCAGAAAAAAAAGAAGTCATATTAACTTTTGCTTCGGAATTCCTAGAATTCAAGAACAGCTAAGATTTTACATGTCACTGATGTACAGGATGAAGTTAAATTAGTGAAACAGCTACATCTTCACATGGAGTCATTAGTGAACATTTCCATTTTCACATATGCATACTGTATCATGAGAAAAATAAAAGAAACAGTAAAGTACTTTACTGACATTAGGCTTGGTTAGTTTCCTGGAACAGCTGAATTTCCCACCACGGTCAAGCTTCCTAGGCCTTGGATTTTGAAATACCAATAGGCAAAAGAAAAAATACCAGCAATCACATTTTCACTTAAAAAATAGTGAGGGAAATTGGCAGTATACATAATGAACCTGGGTTTATTACTTAGTTTCAAGTTATGAAACTTTATCAAGACACATGACAGATAGTCAGCGTACATCACGCTACCCCAGAAAAGGGAGCACAATACTTCAGACTTGCTAAAAATATTTTTATCTTTTGAGGATGACTTGCTGTATAAACTTCATCCCTGTAACAAGTGGCTGTGTGCTTAAAGCCCTCAGTGCGGTCTATCAAAATGCAGTTAGGACTACCTGAATAACCATTCTGATTATTGATTAACCCTGCAGAATGGATGTCAATCGGTTCGCTTCCACATATGCACTTCCACCAGGCACCAGCGACAAGGCAGAGAGCAGCACTCCCACGTTTTCCCTGCCACACACACCACCCTCAGACTTGAGGCACAAAACTTCAGTTACCACGCGAAACCGCAAATATCCGAGAACTCATCGCGACCCTCACCCACCGCTAGGAGAGCCGGGCGCCAAGGGGCTTTCTGCCACCTTAGCAGGGGTAACTCTGCGATACAGACCAGGACCTGGCCAGAACAGCCCCCGAGCGGCGGCCGCGGGGGGACGGGAGGGCGGCGCCGGCCCCGCCGAGGGGCGCATCCCGGCGCTTCCCGCCGCATCCCGGCCCGCAGCCAGTCGCGGCGGGGGGAAAGCTAGCCCCGAGCAAGGGGGAAACGCGGAGCCCGCCCGCGGTGAGAGGAAAAGAAAGGAAAAGAAAGAGGAATGAAAAGGAGGCGAGACCCGCACGCCCCGAGTACCGCGAAGTTCCCCGCGGAAGAGCCCGGCCCCTCTGCCCCAGGTCGGCGACGGCTGCCGGCTTCCTCCTTCCTCCACAAGAACCTGGCGGAGCAGCCCTCGAGAATATCCCCACCCCAAGCCCGGCCCCTCCGAAACCCGTCCCCTCTCCGACACCCACCTTTCCACTCACTCCGCTCTCTTCAACGGGGACGAAGAGAACCTCCCCCAGCCCCTCTCTCCACCCCCGGGGCTCCGAGGAAGAAGTGCCGGCTTCCCGCCCCGCCCCGGGCGGCACCAGGTGACGCTGCCGGGGGGCTCAGGGCCGGCGCCCTCAGCGCGGCCCGGCCCCGGGGCGGGGCAGCCCCTGCCCGGCGGGGGGGGCGGGCACTGGGCGGGGGCTCCCAAGGGCGGGGCCGCCCCGCCCCGAGCCGGGCGCGCTCGGCGCAGGCGCACCGAGGGCCCGCGGGCTCCCTCCCGCCGCCTCCCGACCCGCGGCGCTTGCGCGGGGCGGTGGCCTCGCGGCTGTGGGGGGCGGTTGTGCTGGCCCGTGGCTTCGCTCCGCACCTCAGCGCTCGGAATCGCAGCATCGGGCCCGGGGTCACTTTAGTTTATAGAAGTCCAACCTGTGACCTAGCACCACCTTGTCAACTAGACCACGGCACTAAGTGCCATGTCCAGTCTTTCCTTTAACACTTCTAGGGACGGTGACTCCACCACCTCCCTGGGCAGCCCATTCCAATGTCTGATCACCCTTTTCTGTGAAGAAATTCCTCCTAATGTCCATCCTGAACCTCCACTGGTACAGATTGAGGCTGTGTCCTCTTGTCCTGTCACTAGTTGACGGAGAGGAGACGGAGCCACACCTGACTACAATCTGCTTTAATGTAGTTGTAAAGAGGAATAAGGTCCCCCTTGAGTCTCCTTTTCTCCAGGCTAAACAACCCCAGGTCCCTCAGCAGCCCCTCACAGACCCTTCAGACCCTTCCCAGACCCTTCACCAGCTCTGTTGTCTTTCTCTGGACACGCTCCAGCACCTCAATGTCTTTCCTGGAGTGAGGAGCTGGAACTGGACACAGTACTCAAGGTGCAACCTCACCAAGTACAGAGGGACAATCACTGCCCTGGTCCTGCTGGCCACACTATTTCTGATACAAGGCAGCATGACATTGGTCTTCTTGGTCACCAGGGCGCATGCCTACCTCGTGTTCGGCCAGCTGTCAAACAGCACCCTGAGGTCCTTTCCCACTGGACAGCTTTCCAGCCCCTCCTCCACCAACCTGTAAGCACTGCAAAGTTTAGGGGGCAGCTGCAGTTCAGGGGGGCCCCAGTTCCTGCTTGTCCCTTGGGGGACCCAGTGTCCTCCTGTCCTGTTGGTCCCATTCCCACAGGGTGCCTGGGGCAGCCACAACAGAGGGTGAAAGCTGGCTGCTTGTGGGGGGGCCACCAGAGGGGATTCGAATGTGCCAGCCCCAAACTGGGTGTTGGTTGGGCTTCCCTTCCTCGTGGCACAACCCCAGCTCTGATTGTTGCACTGTTCAAAGGCAGTCAGCTCCTGCCCATGTTAGAGTTGTCTCTCTAGGTTGTAAACTCGCTGAGCCATATGTTAAGAAAACTTCCCTGTCCAACTATCCAGGAGCCATTCTGACAGTCAGTCTTGCACCGCCTGAGCTGGGACTGAGGTCCCTTTGCAGCTACACCCCCCACACTCATACCGTCAGACCAGGTTTCCTTAACAGCTTGTTCCCAGGTTTCCCAGAGCAGAGTCACAGATGTCCAGATTCTTAAAATAATCTAATCTTGGTGCAATAACAAAATAGCAGCTTGAGCTGGGTGCCCCCAAGACACATAGGTGGGACAGTGGGCAGATGCCTGGACAAATGTGTATGAGGACTGGGAAGCAAGGTGGGAAGCTGGTGAGTGATGCACGGCCAAGTCTAGTGACATAGAGGTGGCTGCATGCAGGATCAAATGAGCTGCTTCTGCATCCTGCTCCCAAAAGCAAGAGGTAGCGCGGAAACACAAAGCGACTACCACATGAGTCATCTGCATGTCATGAGACTGCAAGAAACTGTATTCCTCTGGTTATGTCCTGTGTAGGGTGGACTTTAAGGAATTACCTGAGCTAATGCCTTTCTGGGCTATGTCTTTAAAGAAATATGTAGCCTCAATCAAATGGATGACAGTCATATGACAATTGTCAATGTTTTGTGAGTCTGATAGACTTCAGTCCTAAGAATATAGAAGTATGTAGACATTTGCTTTTCTTTTCCCCCATGAACTAAACTACAGGAGCAAGACAAATCACCATGATCAAAGAAGTACTTTGGGGGGTAGTCATTTAAAAAAATGAAATTTAGTCATAACAGCAGCCTCAAAAACAATTATATTTGAATCAGTTATTGTGAGAAAAGAAAGGGGGATTATATATGTGTCTATTATATTCTAATATGAGAGCATACACACATATATATGAGAATATACTAATATATTCCATTTTTCTGATGTATTGGAATATATTTTATATATGTTAGTAATTCTATTTTTATATATATGAATATAAAAATTAAGGATTTTTGAATCCTTGGAAAGAACTTTTCTTTAGAAGTCAGATTGTGAAAAATACCATGCAGTTTCATCCCTTGGCACACATGTTTCTTGTTACAAGTTAAATATACAATGTAATTTAAAAATACTACAAGAGTTCTCCTGTAATTGTTCTGCATCCTATAAAAATAGAAATGTGTTTCACCGATAATCTAGACTGCGCTGCCATTGAAGAATGCTTTTAAATTAACTTCCAACTGCAATTCACAAAGCCAATAGAAAGTTTGATAGATTGTTATAATAGAAAAAGAATATAAATCCTTTGTGATAGGGCCTGTGAGCTGATTGTTAACACATGCAGGGAACAACAAAAAGGAAGAAAACTTTGATCATTCCCTTTCTGGGAGGGAAGGAGTAAAGGGGAGAGACACAGAAAGAGATAAAAATAATGTGAGAGAAACACTTCCAGGAAGAAAACCTGGGCTCTGAGAGTTATATTCCTACTTTGCCTGTGACACTTTAGTGAGTTTCTTTGTTTGTTTGGGGTTTGCGGGAGTTTGTTTGTTCGTGGGTTAGTTTTTTTGTTTTTAATGGGTCCACTTATTTCATTACTTCTTTTCTGCCTGCTTCCCTTTTTTGGTTATGTCTGTTACTTTTTCTCCGTTTTGCATTACTTTGAATTGTGTTCTTCCTGATTCATGTCAAATTCATGTTTTTTGCAACTTTAGGGAAGTCCATGGAGTTGTGCTGGCTATAAACTAGGTGTGCAGGATCGTGTTGAATGGATGTGTTGTGTTTCAGCTGCCTCTTTTATAAGGACATATAAACTGAATGATAGTCTTGTTTACTTTAAAGAGGTATATAGTTTAATTTAATTAAATAGAACTTTGAGAAAGAACAGAGGTCTGTATGCACAGATCAAATTATAGCATCAGGGCCTGGGTGCACGATATGCAGTCTACTCAGCATACAAATATGATTAGACAGACATAGTCAATCTGATCTATTTTAAACAAAATATGTTTATCTGGTTTTAGCAGCATAGCATTTTACTGAAAATGACTTGTCTTTGAGGTTATCATATCAAGTTTAAAGAAACTAACACCTACCGTATTTTTCTCGTCCGTATCTTACTGATATTCCTGTTGTCTGTATTGCTAGCACTTGCTTACACCATGAAAACAAAACGAAAAAAAAAAGACTTTTTTGTTTTGCAATTGTGATTGTAATTTCAATACCATGTGTTTTTAAGTTGGGATTTTCTGACATTAATTAGTAGTTGGCAGCTAAAAGGTCTTCTAAACCACTTTTTATTCAAGGAGATACTATCCTGTACTCCATTTTATTTAACTCCTATTTACTCAGAATAATTTGATACATTGTTGTTTTTCAGGTAATTCTCCTATTAAAACTTCTCAGTTCTGTATAAAATGTTATGTTTATGTAGTTAGATATGCTAGGTTTCTGAGAATATCATACAGCACAATTTCTAGTAAGAACTCCTTTGTTTAGTTTCCTGGAAAAAAAATGTAGGAGATTTCTTAGCAGGGTAGTTGTTGATTAGGTCATTGCTTGAACTTGACAACACAAGGCTTTCACTAGCAACTATAGCTCAAGAAATAACAGTCCTGAATAAACCTGACAATTCACTACAGTTTGACCAGCTCCTCAGCTGTTCTGGCACAACTAAGGTCATTCCACAAACTTAAAAAAGGTAGCTTCCTCCACTTTTTTGATGGGGTCAGTCCAATAGCGTATCAGAGCAGACATCTGGAGAGAGCAGCCATGGACTTCCATGGGCTTCTCTGATTTACTGTGTACTGTACCAGCTGGTGGTAGGGTATGGCTTCTCCACCGGATTACCCACTGCACTGAGAGTCAACAATACAAGACAAATCTTTGACACTACTGATCACTGAGCAAACTAGTTCCACTGAATGAACCAGTCAAAGTGACATTTAGATATTGTGATTTACCATTCTGTGTCTTGCACTAAGGGGCCTGATGCACTGCAGAAACTGGGTGCAGAATCTTAGCAGAGTTTTGCCAGCAGGAAAGAAAAGGGAGAAATTGCTTTGCTAAGCTACCAGAAGCTGTATTTATTAAAAACCTAAGTTTAGTTCAGACTGAAATTACTGTGTGGTCATGGTTTAATAGCAGCTGTTTTGGGGGGAGATTGTTTGTTTTGTTTTGTTTTGTTTTTTTCCTGAGAGATAGAATTGAGACATTCTGTTCAGCTGGTAAATACAAGAATGTGTTAAAATATATGTGCTATTGCTATAGTCACACCTTAAGTTACCGTTAAAGAATTTATTTATACTGCTTCACTATAGTCTGAAATACCCTCACATGGGGAAAAGGTTTTTGTACTTAGGACTCGGCTACCATTTGAGGTTATGGTTCTTCTCCTGGTTTCAAAGCGCAGTCATTCTAAGGCCACAGTAAACCTTAGCAGCACTTATTGGCTAATGGCAACAAATTAATATTTCTCTGTCTCATGGTATGCACTAACTAAATTACCCATGCTGGAAGAAACATAGCTAACCTGTTAATTATAGCCCAGAAAATTTAGTCTAGAGCTGCTAAGATCTTTGGGTACTTTAAAGGGTGGCAAAAGATTAGGTGAGAACCAAAACAGGCTTTGGCAAAGTTTGGATATAAAGAGCCTTAGGGGATGGTGTGTAATATTTAGGAATGGCAGAAATTGAAAGATATTTTAATTGTGCCTGTTGATATGAAATTTTAATTTGTTACCAGGCCTTAGGGTAAACACTGAAGCAAGATCTAGCAAATCTGAGAT